CAACTCTCTACCATCGCGAACTATGGACACTACCTTATTGCTTAGTTGGCATTGGTTGCGGTCTTTCCCTTACAATACTCTCTTATCACATCGGTGATATGAAGTGGTTCAGGGAGGTGTGCACACCTGCGCTCCTGTAAGTCAGCACATCGTGGTAGTGTACAATAGAGTAATGATCGTGATGATTCGGTGGAAGGTGCATTGAAAGAGGGATTTCAGAACATGCCGGTGAGGGTACCACGTCGTGAAAATATGAGGCAAGCGTACCAAGTTGATCCTCCTATCAGCGAGGTGAGGATAGCCTTTCCCTGCAATGTTTTCGAATAATTCTCCGACCGAAAGTTCTGAACATTTTACAGGTGGGCAGGATCATGGCACAGATATTTGCGCGTGAATTGGTTACTCGGAACGCAGTTCCGAAGGCGATTTATACATCGCCCAGTCTGGCATGTGTGCAGACAGCAGCTGATATACGGAACTTCATCGGGTATATCATTTTAGAGTCATTAGGTTTCTCTGATCGCCTTACTGAATACCGAAACATCCAGGAACGACTGCGGTGGTATATGCATTGAACCGGGTCTGGCAACGAACCAATGCGCAGCGTCCAGCTGGATGAGTCCAAGCCAGTTCAATCAACTCAAGTACAACGTGGAGGAAAACTACACCCCAGAGCAGCAAAACGTTAGTGAAGTTGACCATGACGTTTCAATGAGGAGTAAATTCGGGCTTCGTGAAAACCATAGGGTTCAATCGGAAAAAAATGCACGTGTACATGAGAGGGTAACCGCCTCACTGTGAGGCCACGATTGTTCCACCGCTCCGGTGCAATTTCGAGATTTTGAAATCCTTTGTCGAAATCCTGAAACCTCAAACCTTTCGTCAAAATCCCCCGAGAGTTTTTTTGACATAAACATTTTCTTAGTAAGCGTAGTGAGGAGATATGTCAGAGCCCTTCGTGCACCTCACAGAGTTTGTGTGTAATAGAGGTTTTTTGTGTTCAGGGGCTCAAACTACCTCTAGAGCAACTTTCTAACGAACTCTAAGGTTGTCCCGCCATCGAAAAAATGGCCCAACCAAGTCATCTCGGATTATTTTGGCATTCGTCTAGTTTTACAACCACGTTACCCTTTTAGTAACCTTTTCAGTCTCCACTTAAAAATCATCAATTTCAGCAGTGTGATCGAAGCATGAATGGGAGATCGGATAACCTGAAAAAGCTGCTGTTCAGGCTGTCGCAGAAGGGGAAGGGAGTAGGTATGTTCGGAGTAAAATCTAAGAGAATGCGAAAAAAGGCTCAAACGAGGTTCAGAGGTCACTCATTGCCCCAGCAGCTGTTACTGGCACACCCACTTGTTGCATCACCTTAGCAGCTTTGAAAACCTGAAATTATTTCCAA